TTTAGATAGATAGATAGATAGATAGATGGATATTTAGATAGATAGATAGATAGATAGATAGATATTTAGATAGATATTTAGATAGATAGATAGATAGATAGATGGATATTTAGATAGATAGATAGATAAATAGATAGATAGATAGATGGATATTTAGATGGATATTTAGATAGATAGATAGATAGATAGATAGATAGATAGATAGATAGATGGATATTTAGATAGATAGATAGATAGATAAATAGAGAGAGGGATATTTAGATATAGGTGATATATGATGTATTTTATCATCTAATCCATGTAGGCCATGCTGTCGGGCGTGCCAGAAATGTAGCCATCAATGTTGTGAGATGCACGCACCAGCTCCTCCGCCTCCTCCTCTCTGCGCCGCATCGCCCGCTGTCTCTCCTCTTCCGCAAACGCAGCTTCCTTCTGCTTGGCCTCCTTCTGGCGGCGCAGCTCATGGCGGCGGATCCTGTTCTCCTCCCGCCGCCGCTGTCTCTCCCGCCTCTCCTCCTCCTCCTGTGAAAGCATGCGTACATGTACTGTCATGATGATGATGATGATGATGATGATGATGATGATGATGATGATGATGATGATGATGATAACGATGATGACGATGACGATGACGACGGCAACGACGACGACGACGATGATGATAATGATGATGACGACGACGGTGACGACGACGACGATGATGATGATGATGATAATAATGCTTCAAAGCGCTGTGGTGATGACATGGCCCTATAGACTTTGGGGAGGGGCAAGGGGCAATTACTACTACGATTTTGGAGCTTACGAGTGTAAACCCAGCTTAATATATAACAATAAATTGTATAACAGTGTATAAAGCAATAGTGGATAACACTGTATAGCAGTGTATGTCTTCAGCACCTGTCTCTCGATAGCTTTTATACGTTCTTCTTCTCTACGTATTCGTTCTTCCTCTTTCCTTCTTTCTTCCTCCTCTAGGCGGCGCTGTTCCTCCAGTTGTCTGCGTTTCTCTTCTTCTAGTCTGCTCAAGCATATAGATGCTAGTCAACACAAACAGTAACGCACGCACGCACGCACGCACGCACGCACGCACGCACGCACGCACGCACACACACACACATATACACATGCGCACGGACATACGCACATACACTCGCCTGCGCGCACGCAGTACGCAATCGCACAAACAGACACGCGCGCTCGAGCGCACATACACACGCACGCACACATTATACACATATACGCAAGCATGCACACACGCATGCACACACGCATGCACACACGCATGCACATCCTAATTATATACGTACACATAAACGCACGCGCGCGCCAACGAAGGCATACGTTTGGAAGCTATCTAGATTAACCTAACCTATCTACCTAGGAATTGCGTGGGGTTTATTCTTTTCATTAAGTTTTCTCGGTGCATATCATAAGGCGTAGTCGCATGCCAGCTATGGCCGCGTGCTCACTGTCGGATGCATAGCTCTGCTGCGTGGGTGGTGCGCCATGTATATAAGCCATATATGAGGGTGATTGCTTCCGACGTGCTTACTCCGGCAGGTGGCGCGCCTGGTGCTGTTGCCGTGTGCCTGATGCGCGTATTTACTCTACATATCGCTTGCCTTCTCGCTTTTGTTTCCGCACTCTTATCCTGCCGCCTTTTCGCTTCCTCTAGTAATTTCTCTTGCTTTTTTCTCTCTTTCTCGCGCATGCGCTCTTGCCTTTTTCTCTCATCTTCGCGCATGCGCTCTTGCCTTTTCCTCTCCGCCTCCAACATCAGTTCGCGTTGTCTCCTCTCCTCCTCCTGCGCGCGCTCCTCCTCCTGGCTCCGGGCGTCCTCTCTCCGGCGCATCTCGGCTTCCCAGAGACCTTTAAGCTTCAGTTGTTCCTCTCTCCACTCCGAGATCCTCTGGGTGCCTGTGATGACATGGGAACGTGGCGGAAATTGTCACAGCATAGCGTGACATTACACGGTAAACAAAAATATTAAAGTTGACTAAATATTAAACAAAATATAAAATATAATAAATTATATTACACGCTTTTATTGAACTTGAAAATGAAAGTTAGGGCAAACCAAGATCCAGGTAATAATACTAATTTCAGCGTTGACCGTTATTATTTGTAGCAATTATGAGTATTAATGCATCTTAGACTGGCGCTGACCGTTCGAGGCGACGTTTACGGGCGGATCCTGCAGCGGATTGTCGTTGATGTTAGACGACGTGTAGTACTCTCCCCAGTCTAGGTTCTCTAGGTTGGTGAAGCTCTCCGGAAGGTATGTGAGTTTGTTGTTCCCGAGCCACAGTGTGCGCAGCCACGTCATCTCACCCAGCCGCTCCGGCAGCGACCCCAAGCGGTTGTATGCGAGCAGAAAAACCTGCGTCGCGAATAATCAGAAACATTTTTACACTCGGATTCAGAAATGGAGTTCAAGATCATTAAAAACACGAAAAACCCCATTAAATGCTGACCGAGCATTATTAAGATTAAGCATTATTAAGATGCGACAACAGACTTGGAGCGCGGTTAGCACATTCCGAATGCTGGCGAAACGCCAACAGCAAGGAAATATGAGATCTGAATGAACCAAATAACACATTACGAACACAACCTACACACGGAGAACACGGCACGGGTGCGTGGAACACCCGTAAAGCATAGAAAACTCGCCTAAGGATAGAGCCCCGCCTACGAAACATTCCAGAACCTACGGGCATACACGCACAGCTTCATACCACGCAATCCGACTCTTTCATAGGCTTCATAGATTAATAAATAATCACACGGGCTCGATAACACTGGTGCATCGAAGCATTCTGTCATTATACAGAGCTCTGGAAAACATTCATGGAATGATACAGAAACCTCCTAAATGATTACGACGTCACACGTCTGAAATGTTATTAAAATTAACTCCTACACACAACACATCATGTGCAAATCCTGAGCAAAATTGTGAGAATTTATATGTGTCATAACGACCACTGATGTATGTTATGACGTCATATTTTTTATTCTCGAATTACATTTTTAGCCTTTTTTTTTATTTTGTTATTATTTCAACATCGGGTTCCCTGAATGGCTGGCCCTTCACTCACTCACTCACTCACTCACTCACTCACTCACTCACTCACTCACTCACTCACTCACTACGCAATTCTCGCGCGTCTAACTAAATGGCCGAACATCTTGTATGATATGCTGCATGAGCACATTTTATGATAGGTAAATGAGTATGAGTGATGAAGCGGGCAGAACGCAGCGGGGTCAGGGGGAATGGTGCAGGGTAGGGAAGTGGGGGGAGGGTTGTAGAAGAGGGGTGCGAGGGAGGAGTGTGGGGGGAGGGGTGTGGAGGAGGAGTGTGGGGGAGGTGTGCGGAGGATGAGAGTGGGAGATTTCGGTGGAGATGTGTATTGGAGTGGTATGGGGTAAGGCCGTGGGGGATACGTCTGTGGAAGGGTGTGGGGGAGGGATGTGTAGGATAGGTGTGTGCGTGCGTGGCTGCGTGCCTGCGTAGTATCAAGAGTCTATAATAGAAAATAGAGAATAATTGAAGCGAGAATAATTTAGATAGAATAACATAGAAATAGAGAATTATTTTCTATTATAGACTCTTGATAGTTTTATACGTATACGTATATATTATAGTATTATACCTTAATCTCAGCGAGAGTAGCAGTCTTGCCGAAACGTGCTACGGGTCCATCCATGGTGCTTAACACTGGTCGTAGTAGCGGCTGCACACACCCATACACGCACACACAGTCACACACACACATACACACATACACACGCACACACAGATAGACGCGATGGTCACCACACGCTCATGTAGGCAGGCTGCGGTACGTGAAACCACTACATGTATGTGTCGTAACAGGTGGTCCTCTACTGTCGCTACAGCGCCGTCTGCTGCTGCTGCTGCCGCCGCCGCCGCCGATTGCACGGCGCTACCGTCGCTGCTGCAGGCTATGGCGGCTCCTGCGCGTACAACATCCGCCACCTATGGTCTTACCTTTGCGTGTAGACAGCCAGAGTGTGGGAAGCCATGCAGCTGCTTGTAGATGTTTACGACATAACAAGCGCAGAGTCTACACCGACACAGTGGTGAGTGGGGTGAACGAAAGAGATCGGATTATAGCGGAAGGGAGATAAGGAACAAAAGGGAAGTGAGAAAACATGAGAAGGGAGAAAGAAAGGCGGAATGAGGGAGAGGAGGGAGAGAGTGAGAGCGAGAGAGATTGATGTATATATGTAAATAACAGCTTTGGTTAGACTTGTAACATTGATTAAGATACATTAAGATTGCAGGCACCGGTTTATTTTGTATGGCTAGTAAATTAATAGGTTTCTCACACTGCCTGTTTAAATGCAGATGACAGCTTATCCGTCATCATCAAGATAAAACACACGTTAATTAACACAATCATATATCGACAACATCTATAAGACCAAGTACTTGTTACTTCATGGGAATAACTATTAGTGTTAGAATCCATAGAATGTTAGACTCCGCCTTAGCGATGGTTACGTAATGGTCAGTGGGGATCACACACACACGCACGCACGCCCGCACGCACGCACGCACGCACACGCGCGCATGCACACGCACACACACACACACACACACACACACACACACACACACACACACACACACACACACACACACGCACACGCACACGCACACGCGCACGCGCACGCACACGCACACGCGCACGCGCACG